TGAGTAGCTAGGATTACAGGCGTGAGCCACCAGCACCCGGCTTCGATTTTGTATTTTTATTCCTGCCATAGCTGGGATGACAAGCATGTACCTTCTTTCTGGCCATGGTGTCCAGCTACTGGTTGAGAAAGTCTTGTGAACTTTTTTACCTGGACTGTCCTTGAACTATGATCCTCCTGATTTTGGTTTGCCAAGTAGTTAAAATTACAGGCAAAAGCCACTAGAGTCTAGCCCTCTTTATTGCTTTTGAGATCTGTTTTGCTACATAGTTCACGTGATCCTTCTGCTTCACCTTTTTTTTTGGGGGGGGGGGGGGGGCGGGTCATGGTGCTTCATCTCAAGGCTAGTGCTCTACCATTTTGAACTACAGCTTCACTTCCAGTTTTTTTAGTGGTTAATTGGAAATAAGAGTCTCGGGGGACTTTTCTGCTCTGGCTGGCTTTGAACTGTGATCCTCAAGATTTCAGCCTCCCTCCTGAGTTGCTAGGATTATAGGCATGAGCCACCAGCACCCAGCTTGCTCCAGCTTTCTTGTTTTAGTGCCAGTCTTGGAGCTTGAAGTCATGGCCTAGGTGCTATCTCTAAGCTTATTTGTTCAAGGCTAGCACTCTACTGCTTGAGCCGTAACTCCACTCCTGGATTTTTTTTTTTTTTGTGATTAATTAAAGAGTCTCATGGACTTTTCTGACCCCCTGGGCTAGCTTTGAACTGTGACCCTCTAATCTCAGTTTCCTTAGTACCTAGGATTAAAGGCATGAACCACTGGCACTCAGTTTGCCTCAGCCTCTTTGGTGCTGAGATTACAAGCATGTACCACTCCTATTTTTAACTGCATGAATGTGGAATGTGTCATAAAGAATAAAAATCACTATTATATGTACATTGTCAAACCTATGTTGAAAGCATATTATAGTGCTGTTTTTAACCTGAGTTTATTTATTACAGGTAAATTTTATTTTCCTCTTCATACTTTTCTAGTTTCTAAACCTAATATTTTCTTTAAAAAAATTTTTTTTTGGTCAGTTGTGGATCTGGATGTGGTCCCTGAGCATTTTTGCTCAAGGCTACTGCTCTACCACTTTGAGTCACAGTTATACTTCCAGTTTTCTGGCTGCTAATTGGAGATAAAGAGACACACGCTGGGCATGTGTGAACTGGTGGCTCACGCCTGTAATCCTAGCTACTCAGGAAGCTGAGATCTGAGGATCTCAGTTCAAAGCCAGCCCATGCAGAAAAGTCCAAGAGACTCTTACCTCCAATAAACCACTAGAAAACCATAAGTGGCACTGTGGCTCAAGCAGTAAAACTCGCCTTGAGCTGAAGAGTTGAGGGATAGTGCCCAAGCCCAGAGTTCAAGCCCCATGACTGACAAAGAAAAAAAAAAAAAACAAATATACAAAATTTTTCCTAGTCTGACACAAAATATACTGAAAAAATCAGAACTGCAAATATGAGGTACTTCTCTAAGACAACTAAATTTTCAGACTGTGTGTGTGTGGGGGGGGGTACTTCTCTAAGACAACTAAATTTTCAGACCATGTGTGTGTGTGTGTGTGTCTTCTTAAACACTAGGCACACTCAACCACTATACACCTATCCTGTACAGACCCTCTTGATCTTTTCTCTCCCTTAATATTTAACAATGCTTATATACTTGGAGAGCCTATCATAGTTTGCAGTTTCCTCTGAATTTTTCTGTTTGTGACAGGGATTGAACCCAGAAAGCCTTACTCTATCACTAATCCTCACTGCTAGCCCCTTTTGGATTCTCTTAAGAAGCTGTTGTACAATAGATCAAATGTCAGAAGGCCTGGATTATCATCACCCTATTGCTTCTAATTGGCCTTGTAATCTTGACTAAGTCCTTACCAGCAGTGGGTCTGTTTTCCTATCTGTAAAATAAAGGATGGGTGAGCTGACAGATGATTTTTTGTTTTCAGTCAGTCCTGGGGCTTGAACTCAAGAGTTTGGACAACGTCCCTGAGCTCTTCTGCTCAAGGCTAGTGCTCTACTACTCAAGCCACAGCTCTACTTCCAGGTTTCTAGTGGTTAATTGGAGATTAAGAATTTCCTGGACTTTGCTGCCTGGGCTGGTTTTGAACTATAATCCTCAGATGTCAGCCTCCTGATTAGTAGCTAGGTTTACAGGCGTAAGCCACCTGTGACCTGCCCTGACAGGTGATTTCTAAGGGGTTTTCAGCTCAAAGACTGTACTATTGCTTTCAGGAAATTTTTCCTCCAAAGAGAACGGTTATACAAGTCCACTAGATGGCACTTTAACACTCTATTTCAAATATACAATTAATTACTTAAATCCTGCCACATTATTCCTAAATTATCAAGAAAATACAATTCTCATGTCTCACCACAGTTTCTCCCCCCCCCCCGCCCCCGGGCCTGGGCGCTGTCCCTCACCTCTTCAGGTAAAGGCTAGCGCTCTACAATTTGAGACAGTACCACTATTGGCTTTTTCTGCTTATGTGGTGCCAAGGAATTGAATTCCCAGTGTCTCATGAATGCAAGGCAAGCACTCTACCACTGAGCCACCTTCCCAGCCTTCACCATGATTTCTTGAAGAAACAGTTGTTTCCTTTTTTTTTTGTCAGTCATGGGGCTTGAACTCTGGGCCTGGGTGCTGTCCTTCAGCTCTTCAGCTCAAGGCGAGCACTCTACCACTTGAGCGGTCTCTCCTGCCCGGGCTGGCTTTGAACGGCGATCCTCAGATCTCAGCCTCCTGAGTAGCTAGGATTACAGGCGTGAGCCACCAGCGCCCGGCACAGTTGTTTCTTTATTGAAGCTCTTTCCATAATAAAACTGACTAAATAAACTTGCAGCAAATGAATGAAAACCAGACGATGGTGGCTCACACTTGTAATCCTAGCTACTCAGGAGTTTGAGATCTGAGGATCCTGGTTCAAAGCTAGCCCGGGCAAGAAAGTCCATGAGACTCTGGTCTCCAATAAACCACCAGAAAACCGGAAGTGACACTGAGGCTCAAGTGGTAGAGCTCCTGCCTTGAGCTGAAGAGCTGAGAGACAGTGCCCAGGTCCAGAATTCAAGCCCCACAATTGACCAAAAAAAAAAAAGCAAGCAAGGGGCTGGGTAGGTGGCTCAGTGGTAGAGCGCTTGCCTTGCATGCCTGAGGCCCTGGGTTCGATTCCTCAGCACCACATAAGCAAAAAGAAAAAAGCCACAAGTGGCGCTGTGGCTCAAGTGGTAGAGTGCTAGCCTTGAGCTGAAGAGCTGAGGGACAGCGCCCAGGCCCAGAGTTCAGGTCTCACGACCGGATCTCCCCTCCCCCACAAAAAAATGAAAAAGTGGAGGTGTGGCTCAAATGAGAGAGCACCTTGAGTAGAAGAAGCCAAGCATGAGATTGAATTCAAGCCTCAGTACCAGAAAAAAACAAAATGCTAAAAATATAAATAAATGCAAATTCCTATTAAACATATACACTTTCATACTTTTGTGAATTTTTTTCTTTTTGCCAGACCCAGGGCTAGAACTCAGGCCTCATACTCTCAGCTGGTGCTCTATTTGAATCATACCACCACTCCCAACTTTTTGCTAGTTAACTGAAGATAAAGAATGAGGATTTGTCTGCTGGGGCTGATTTTGAACCTTAATCCTAAGCTCTTAACCTCCTGAGTAACTAAGATTATAGGCATGAGCTACCAGTACCCAGCTTTGTGTGAATTCTTAAAACTGTGCTATGAAATTGCCATCAAATTTTCAGAACTCCTACTCCATTTATGGAACAGACTAATAATAGTATAAAGTAGGGGCTGGGAAGGTGGCTCAGCGGTAGAGCGCTTGCCTTGCATTCCTGAGGCCCTGGGTTCAATTCCTCAGACCACATAAGCAAAAATAAAAAAGCCGAAAGTGGCGATGTGGCTCAAGTGGTAGAGCGCTAGCCTTGAGCTGAAGAGCTGAGGGACAGCACCCAGGCCCAGAGTTCAGGCCCCATGACTGGACCCCCCCCCAAAAAAAGTATAAAGTAGCTCATTCCATAATTCACTCCATGCACATAATTTAACATACCATGGTTCATAAAATATTAATGCCAAAAATACTAAGAACCTTAGTGTTTAATTGAAAGGGCAAGTTAGATACCTATGGCTTATGCCTGAACTCCTAAATACCCAGAAGGCTGAGATCTGAGGATCCTGATTTGATATTGGCCTGGGCAAGAAAGTGAGTGAGACTTCTTTTTTTGCTGGTTGCTGGGCTTGAACTCAGGATCTGAGTGCTGACCTTGACCTCTTCTGCTCAAGACTAGGGCTCTACCACTTTGAACCACAGCTCCACTTCTGGTTTTCTGGTTGTTAATTAAAGATAAGAGTATCAGACTTTTCTGCCATGGCTGGCTTTGAACCATGGTCCTCAGATCTCAGCCTCCTAAGTAGCTAAGATTTACAGGTATGAGCTACCAGGGACCTGTGTCAGTGAGATTCTTATCTCCAATTAACTACCAAAGAAGATGGAAATGGAGCTGTGGCTCAAGTAGTAGAGTGCTAACAGTGAACAAAAAAGCTCAGGGACAGCACCTAGGCCATGAATTCAAGCCTTAGAATAGGCATCTAAAAAGATAAATAATAATAATTAAAAGGATAACCTCCAAGCTGGGCACCAGTGGCTCATGCCTATAGTCCTAGCTACTCAGGAGGTTGAGATCAGAGGATCATGGTTCAAAGCCAGCCCAGGCAGTAAAGACCATGAGACTCCTATCTCCAATAAACCACTAGAAAACCGGAAGTGGCACTGTAGCTCAAGGGGTAGAGCACTAGCCTTGAGCTGAAGAGCTGAGGGACAGTGCCCAGACCCAGAGTTCAAGCCCCATGACCGACCAAAAAAAATAAAAAAAGGATAACCTCCAAACTCAGTCATTCCTCCCGGCCCGCCAGGTACTAGGACTTGGACTCAGGGCCTCAAACCCTGTGCTTGCTCACAGCTAGCTAGCACTCCACATCCCTAGCTCAGCTTTTTGCTAGTTAATAAGAGACCGGAATTTTTAATTGATTAATTTTAATTGGTTGGCGGGAGATGGACTTTTCTGTCCTGGTTGGCTTTAAACCACCATCATCCACATCTTAAGCTTCCTGAGTAGCTACAATTACAGGATTAAGGCACAAGCACCCAGTTATAACTTTTATATTAGAAAGGAAACACATTTATCTTTTGATACATTTTGAGGCAGTTTCTTTTTTTCTCTGTCATGGGGCTTGAACTGGGGGCCTGGACATTGTCCCTGAGCTCTTTTTGCTCAAGGCTAGTGCTCTATTACTTTGAGTCACAGCAAAACTTTCAGTTTTCTGGCAGTTTTTTCTGGAAGTTGGCTACTGGCTTCAAACCATGATCCTCAGATCTCAGCCTGAGAAGCTAGGATTACAGGTGTGAGTCACTGGCACCTGGACTTTCCCTTCACCTTTAATGTAATCAATAGAGTCTCTTTTTTCCTAAGCTGATAAGGAATGGACAAAGACCAGAGAGAGCACTTTTTTCACAGTACTAGTTTTGATTCAAACTTTCAAACAGGTTGCTACTTTTATAAAGACATAGGAGATTTTATCTGTAAAAACTAAAGGCTATGAAGAAGGCACATGAGTTATTTTCTTGTTCACTAATAAGAAATCCTGAGACATGAAAAACTTTCCTCCTTCTTTCTCTTCCCATTTTCTTCCTCCCCTTGACCCCCAAAATGACTTTGGCATCACCTTGGTGGTATAAATGAACAGACATTATACATTTTCCCCTAGCTTCCTTTCTTCTTAACTAGGCAAGTATTCTACTGTATCTCTAAACTCTCCAGCAGGTCTTTAATACATGCGTGTAACAGTCATGTCTTTCTTTTGCCAGAACTTTTCTTTAAATCATTTAAAGTTGTATTTTGTACATCCAAGTTAAAATCTGGAAATGAGACCCTTTTTCTAATACACTCACCTTTAGCATAATGTCTAAGGTAGTGCCATCACCATGCTTCAAAACAGTCAGATAGACCTATGAAGAGATAAAGGAACATAAAAAGTAGTCATCTGGAGGCATGAGGGGGTTCTGGAGTTTGAACAATGGACCTATAACTTTCTGGGTAGGCACTCTACCATGTGAACTACGCCAACTTTTTTTTTTTTTTTTGCTTATTTTTCAGATAGGTGCTCATGATTTTGCCCAATGCTGGCCTCAGACTGCAATCCTCCTACTTATGCCTCTCAGCAGTTAGGAATTATAGGTATGTCCCATTTGTTCAGCTTGCTGATTAGATGAAGTCTCACTAAACTTTTTGCTCAGGCTGGCCTCAAACCTCAATCCATTTGATTTCTGCCTTACCAGTGGCTCAGACTATAGTTATGTACAACCCTACCCAGTAAAAAGATGATTTGAGTTCACATATCTAGTTTAAATATTCTAATGTTAGGAAAATATATAAAGTAAGCTAAAAAATGCAGTCATGTGTGATATACAACTGAGAGCCCATGAACAACCAAAGAGGTGGATGACAGTCATGACAGAGAACACCACCAGATCTCTTAGGGGAATATGCATGGCTAATATCCTTCAGCACTGGAATTGTCGGCTGAGAAACTTAAATGAGAAGCTGGTTATTTTCTTAAATAGCTTATGTTAAAAAGGAGCTAGATACTGCTTCTGGGTTGGTTTTTAGGTCAGTTTGGTTACTAATAAGTTGTATGCTTCACCGAACGAGACAGGCAGCTAAAAGTCAAAGAAATACATTAAGAAAACTTACAGGACTCCTCAGATCAGCAGAGAGACTCTGTTTTCCTTCCACATGATCCTTAAACCGACGACGGGCTTCTTCTAATGTTGCCTTATGTCCTGCTTTTCCTAGTTTTCCCAGAACCAAACCCCTTAAGAGTGCATCTAGATGACCTGGTTGAAAAGAAGAACAAAAGACTACTTGAAAAGTCTGTTTTAAAAAACTTGCAATTATAACTGTGTTATGCCAAATCTCTCATCTTGAACAATTATCCAAATACTGGAGAAAACATTTATTTCTATTTCAACTTATCAAATCTTAAGAGGAAAGGAAGTAACAGATTAAATTTGCTCACTTCATCTATACTTACAAATGCCAACTGTTAGAAGTTAGTAAGTATTCAGTCTGGTTAACAGTACTGCTAAGAATTACATGTGAAAAGCAGCTCATCTTCCCCTCCCCCCCTGCTTTTTTTTTGGGGGGGGGTCGGTCTTGGGACTTTAACTCTGGGCCTGGGGGCTGTCCCTCAGCTCTTCAGCTCAAGGCTAGCATTCTACCACTTGAGCCACAGTGCCACTTCTGGACTTTTTTTTTTTTTTTTTACTTCTGGCCTTTTCTGCTTATGTGGTGCTGAGGAATCGAACCCAGGGCCTCATGCAAACCTTCCCAGCCCCTCTTTTTCCTTTTTTGTTGACTCAAATTCAAGAAAAAGAAACATATAGAACTAGTATTCTCTGTGAACAATAAGTCAAAATTTTAGGGTTTCTTTTTTGAGTGGCACTGATCTTTGAACTCAGACCTTGCAACTGCTATGTAGACTTCACCACTTGAGCCACATAAATCCCCTTGTCCCCACCCCCAAATTGTATAATCTAATGGATTATGAGCCAGTATTGGTGGCTCACATCTATAATCCTATCTACTTAATAGGCTGAGATCTGAAGGTTGCAGTTTGAAGCCAGTCAGGGCAGGAAAGTCCATGAGACTTTTATATCTAGTTAATCAACAAAAAACAAAACAAAATAGATCCCACCACCACCACCACCAACAAAGTAAAGCTAATAAAAGTTCAGAGACAGTGCCCAGGTCCTGAGTTCAAGCCCCAGGACTAGCATACACGCATGCACAGTCAATAAATTATTATTCCAAAGACTTGCAAATAAGCCCATAAAAAGATGTTCAATGGCCAGGCACTGATGGCTCATGCCTCTAATCCTAGCTATTCAGGAGGCTGAGATCTGAGGATCATCATTGAAAGCCAGCCCCAGGCAGGAAAGTCCATGAAACTCTTATCTCCAATAAACCACTAAGAAAACTGGGGGTGGCACTGTGGCTCAAGTGGTAGAATGCTTGCCTAGAACTGAAGAGCTGAGAGACAGTGCCCAGGCACAGAGTTCAAGCCCCATGACAAAAAAAAGAAAAAAAGTTCAGTGGGCTAAAGCAATAGCTCAGGTTATAGACAGCCTTCCTAACAAGCATAAGGCCCTAAGTTCAAACCTAGTACATCCTCCCTCAAAAAAAAAAAGAAAAGAAAAAGATGCTGAACATCATTGGTCACTAAAGAAATGCAAATACCAGGCTGATGCTGGTGGCTCACGCCTGTAATCCTAGCTACTCAGGAGGCTGAGCTCTGAGGATCACGGTTAAAAGCCAGGCTGGGGAAGAAAGTTAAGTGAGACTCATTTCCAAATAACCACCAGAAAACCAGAAGTGGTGCTGTGGCTCAAGTGGTACAGCACTAGCCTTGAGCTGAAGAGCTGAGGGACAGTACCCAGAACCAAGTTCCAGCCCCACAACCGATAAAAAAAAAAAAAAAAGCAAATACCAATCTATACTTATTGTTATACTACAAAGTGCCTGCCTATATTTATCTTATACTACAGAGGGCCCGCCTAGTAAGTGCAAGTTTAAACTATAATAACACCAAGATAAATAAAATGAAAAGGACAAGCAATAGGTGTCGGTAAAAATGTAAAAACAATTGGTGGAGATGTTAAATGGTATGGCCACTTAGAAAAAAAGTTTGGCAACTCCTCCAAGGTTAAGCATAAAGTTATCTCATGACCTTCAATTTTACTCTTAGCTATCCAAGGGGAATGAAAGTATGTACCTACACACACACACACACAACTATTTATAGAATTAATGTCTGAAAAGTGGAACCAAAACAGATGTCCATCAACTAATAAACAATAAAATGTGTTGTGGTCACACAATGGAATACTACTGTACCATACAAATCATTAAGATACTGATATATGCCACAAAATATGGATGAGTCTTGAAAGCATTATGCTAAATGAAAGAAATCAGGCACAAAAAAGTCACATATGAATCTATTTATAAAATGCTCAGAATAGACAAACTTGTAAAACAGGAAGATTAGTAGTTGCCAGGTAGTAGACAATGATTGTCACCGAACCCAGAACTTCTCTGGAAAAAAATACTGAAGCAGGTATGATGATTACATACTTATAATCTTAGCATTCAACATGTCAAGGTAGCTGTAAATACTATCTGCATTATAATAACTCTCAAATATTTATCCTGTTTGGCCTTCTGGGCCCTCTGCCTTAAGATGTTCAAAATTGCCGGGTGCTGGTGGCACAACGCCTGTAATCCTAGCTACTCAGGAGGCTGAGATCTGAGGATCACGGTTCAAAGCCAGCCCAGGCAGTAGAGACCGTGAGACTCTTATCTCCAATAAACCACTAGAAAACCGGAAGTGGCACTGTAGCTCAAGGGGTAGAGCACTAGCCTTGAGCTGAAGAGCTGAGGGACAGTGCCCAGACCCAGAGTTCAAGCCCCATGACCGACCAAAAAAAATAAAAAAAGGATAACCTCCAAACTCAGTCATTCCTCCCGGCCCGCCAGGTACTAGGACTTGGACTCAGGGCCTCAAACCCTGTGCTTGCTCACAGCTAGCTAGCACTCCACATCCCTAGCTCAGCTTTTTGCTAGTTAATAAGAGACCGGAATTTTTAATTGATTAATTTTAATTGGTTGGCGGGAGATGGACTTTTCTGTCCTGGTTGGCTTTAAACCACCATCATCCACATCTTAAGCTTCCTGAGTAGCTACAATTACAGGATTAAGGCACAAGCACCCAGTTATAACTTTTATATTAGAAAGGAAACACATTTATCTTTTGATACATTTTGAGGCAGTTTCTTTTTTTCTCTGTCATGGGGCTTGAACTGGGGGCCTGGACATTGTCCCTGAGCTCTTTTTGCTCAAGGCTAGTGCTCTATTACTTTGAGTCACAGCAAAACTTTCAGTTTTCTGGCAGTTTTTTCTGGAAGTTGGCTACTGGCTTCAAACCATGATCCTCAGATCTCAGCCTGAGAAGCTAGGATTACAGGTGTGAGTCACTGGCACCTGGACTTTCCCTTCACCTTTAATGTAATCAATAGAGTCTCTTTTTTCCTAAGCTGATAAGGAATGGACAAAGACCAGAGAGAGCACTTTTTTCACAGTACTAGTTTTGATTCAAACTTTCAAACAGGTTGCTACTTTTATAAAGACATAGGAGATTTTATCTGTAAAAACTAAAGGCTATGAAGAAGGCACATGAGTTATTTTCTTGTTCACTAATAAGAAATCCTGAGACATGAAAAACTTTCCTCCTTCTTTCTCTTCCCATTTTCTTCCTCCCCTTGACCCCCAAAATGACTTTGGCATCACCTTGGTGGTATAAATGAACAGACATTATACATTTTCCCCTAGCTTCCTTTCTTCTTAACTAGGCAAGTATTCTACTGTATCTCTAAACTCTCCAGCAGGTCTTTAATACATGCGTGTAACAGTCATGTCTTTCTTTTGCCAGAACTTTTCTTTAAATCATTTAAAGTTGTATTTTGTACATCCAAGTTAAAATCTGGAAATGAGACCCTTTTTCTAATACACTCACCTTTAGCATAATGTCTAAGGTAGTGCCATCACCATGCTTCAAAACAGTCAGATAGACCTATGAAGAGATAAAGGAACATAAAAAGTAGTCATCTGGAGGCATGAGGGGGTTCTGGAGTTTGAACAATGGACCTATAACTTTCTGGGTAGGCACTCTACCATGTGAACTACGCCAACTTTTTTTTTTTTTTT